ATCGATGATTTGACCCTAGGTGGCACCTTGAGCCTCATCTTGTCGACATATCGATGATTTGACCCTAGGGTGTCACCTTGAGCCTCATCTTGTCGATATATCGATGATTTAACCCTAGGGTGTCACCTTGAGCCTCATCTTGTCGGTATATCGATTGTTTTGACCCTAGGTGTCACCTTGAGCCTCATCTTGTCGACATATCGATGATTTGATCCAACAAGCCAATTTGAACATTGTAATGGCCTAAACAATCCAACAAGCTAACAATGCATCATATAACAATTACTAGTGAACATTGTAATGGCCATAATAACAAGCCAACTTGACAGAAATAGAGAGGCTTAAGTACATTGCATCATATAGATTCATAGGTTCATAGATTACAGTACCATATCACATCATCATGAAACCAGATCCAACAACATAGCAAATACTAGTTCAGCCAGATTACAGTACCACAAGTTGTTGCCAAAATAGATCTTAGCAATTACTAGTTTAGCTAGATCATATCATCATCAAGGTTCAACATCAGTTCCCAGAAGCATAGAAATAGTCTTTCAGCCTGCTGGGTTGCTTTCTTTGTCTTGGTGGCAAGAATGGTGCTGATGTGGATGCTGCAGCTATTGAACCTCTCCTACTTGCTATAGCTGAAGAAGCTCTCCTGGCAGGAGTTGAGCTGGCTGCCCTTGTTGCTGCACCTGTAGTTGAAGAAGCTGCCCTTGGTGCTAGAGCTGTTGAAGAAGCTGCCCTTGGTGTTGGAGCTGTTGAAGAAGTTGCCCTTGGTGCTCCCCTTGGTGCTGCACTTGTTGATCCCCTTGGTGCTATTGGTGCCCTGCTTCCTTGTGTGCTACCCTCCTCTGTGCTGTTAGACTGCATATAAGAATTGTAGCAAGTTAATACATTCAAGTGTTAGAAAACAAAATCTGGCTAAACCTGGTGCTTGTAGAAACCTGATGCTTGTTCTTTCTCAATGCTAACCCTAGTTTTAGAGGCTGTTTGCATGATGTGTATCTGTGACCTACAAGCTGGCAGTTGCTGCATGTAATTGAAGCCATGCTAGATGTATCTTTGGGTGCTGGTGGCTCAAACTGGCTCCTTCTCCTCTAGGTTTGCTTCTTCCCTGGCTTATCCTTGAACACTGGAGGTTCTATGTCTCCGCTATTGGTCTTGGGCCACAGATCTTGTCCTGGTACAGGGAATATGATGGGGTTGTATGCTGCCAGATACATTGGCTTTTTGAAAAAGTCATGTACAAAGTCTTCAGGCCTCAGTTTGGCTTTGGTGATAGCTGATACTGCATGATTGCATGGGACAGCAGTCATGTCCCATTTCCTGCACCCACATGTCCTATGTTGCAGGTTAACCGAATAAGTTCTCTCATTTCTTGTCACTTGGTAGATATTTGGCCCAGCCATCAATGCTTGACAGTTCCTAGATTTTTTCTTTGCTTCTTCAAGCAACTTAGCATATGTTGGGCATATATCCCACTTGGCTACCTCTGTCTTAGTCCTATTGCCATTGAACCTAACCATCAACTTAGTCTTGATTCCATCTATCATGCTCTTTATTGGTTTGCCCCTCACATCTAATATCATCTTGTTAAATACCTCACTAATATTGTTGACAACTAGGTCAGTTTTGCAATTGAAGGCCATTGCAAATCTAGCCCAAGTAGCTCTAGGAACTTTGTTAAGCCAAGCCCAAGCAGCCTTGCACTCATTTTAAGAGCATCCATTGTAGCAAGATGGTCATGTTCAGTATAAGAGTAACTAGCTTTATCCATGTACTTCTTTAATTCTGACCCCCTAAAATCAGCAGTCTGGAAGTTTTGATAGATGTGTCTAAGGCAGAATCTATGTGGGCAGTTGGGGAATACATTGTTTGCAGCTTTAAGAAGGCCCTGTTTGGAGAAATCACCATAATCACAACTAAGCAATGTATATGACCAACAACTAATTAAGCAATTATGAACTATGCAATTGTGAACTATGCAATTATAAACTAAGCAATTGTGAACTATGCAATTATGAACTAAGCAATTATGAAGCAATGTATATTATAAAATACAACTAAACATGGAAATTACCTTCTGTCTATCAGAGATATGGTGTAATAACCAAATCTCCCTGATTCTCCACCAATTGCTATCTTCAGTTCAGATAGAAACCAAGTCCAACTGTTTGCGTCTTCTTTGTGCACAACTGCAAAAGCAATGGGATATATGTTATTATTCCCATCCCTTCCTGTGGCAGCCAGGATTTGTTGGCCAGTAGACAGCTTGATGAAGCATCCATCCACACCTGCATTGGCACACAACACAAGTCAGAAACAAGGCATTCAAACAAGGCAAAGTAAAGAAAGTAAAGTAATCACCTATGAATGGTCTACATCCATTCAGAAATCCTTCCTTGCAAGCATTCAAATAGATGAACAGACCATGGAACCTTGGATTTTTGCTTGGATGCTCCTTTAAGAACTTAGTAGTGACAATGCACCTACTACCTGGATTTGTGTCCAAGACAGCCTGCAAGTAATCCCTGATTCTGGTATACTGACCCGTCTGATCTCCTTGCACCATCTCAACTGCTTTGTTCTTAGCCCTGTAGGCCATATGAGTGCTGATCTCAACTCCATACTTGCTCTTCAGGTTTTGCATTATTGTAGTTATTGGTGTGTTCAAGTCTGTTCTTATTGCTTCTAACACCTGATGTGTGACCCACTTGGTAGTCACCTTGGTGCTCTCTGCTACAGCTAGACATGTGTGCAAAATTTTTGCTTTTCTAATGCAAAAAGTTCTCTCATTTGCCAACACAGAAGCTGCAATGAAAAAAGGGCAATCTTCATGTTTGCAAATAGCTATGATTCTATCATTGCAGTTCCTATGAAACACATAGTTTCTGTTTTGAGCTATGTGGGATGTGAGAAGTGCCCTTCTAAATTGGTAAACACTTCCAAAACAAAGATTTTTTACAAACTGCATCTCTGGGCTCTCTCTATCCTCATCATACAAGATTCTTGGTTTGGGTTTTTTGGCCCTACTCTTATTGCCAAGCACAAAAGCTAGGGGTACTGCCCCATCATCCTCCTCCTCCTTCAAATCACCAGGATTTGGATCCTCATCAGATGATGGCACCCAAACATCGTCAAATTGTTGCTCCAAACTTGCATGTGATCTACTAGTTGGCCCCTTTCTTACTTTCATCTTCTTCCTCTTTTCCCCTTGTGGTACCACCCCTTCTTCAATTTCCTCATCCTCTCCATGTTCCTCAGGCACTACCTCTTCTTCTAGCTCATAAGGTTCTTCAACATCAGTGTCACCTTCAAAGT